GCTTATTGTTCATGAATCTACAAATCATATTGTGTGCTGATGATCCCTGCGTTCAGCTATCATTCTGCACATCACCTACGTACTTTTACTAAATCCTAATAACTCTCATGAAACACATGCATTTATAATTTCCTAATATGATGAATAGTTCAAAACCAGTGATGGAATATCCCGAAGTACATGACTACCTTAAACTAACGCTTGGAATAACACTAATAATCATAATGTCGTAATAAAAATTATGACAAGGAGGATGCGAAAATACTTTTTTAAGTGATGATTTAAGTTTGCAAAATATGTGACATTGTTGATTGAATTTACTACTAGAGATATGATCATTATGTGTGTGCTGAGAGCAGTAATAACACTAATAAAAATATCAATGAGATGAACGTTACTCCAATGTTCTCATGCGGAAAGGTACTTAAATGGCAATTAAATTAATTTTATGGGCTTTCTTCGCATTCACAGTCTATTGTTTGACTTACGATAACATATCAATTTCTCACATCACTCAACCCAGCAACGCTACCGTATTCTGTTCGATTAGTGAAGGACATGAGATTGTGAATTTGTTCGTTGAATTATTGACGCTCTGAACATTTTCGTTCAGTTCAAAGCACGAGATAATGCTATTTTCGACTTAGAATGAGTCCTTACAATGGACTAATAACGTTTCACGCGCAAATATTTTTTTGTAAACCAATTAACAGAACCTTTGCAATATAATGGCTAGTTCTTGAATAAGTTCTGATATCACAGTAGATCAAATATTTTTAGTACAATAATTGCGAACGGTTGCTGGAGCAGACGTGAAACAAACACACATACAGGAAGAATCTTTAAATACAGCTATTGATGCGCATAGATGAACAGGTACAACCGGTAAAACATTTGTGAATGAATTGAGAATAAAACAACGGGAAAAGCAACAGTGACGCTTGAAATTTTGAGAAATTGCACATACCGTAAGATTCTGGAAGAGCCAAGCCCTGAACTTAGTGATGGCCTCTTTAGAGAAGACTTTCGGTACTTTTCGTTTGTTGCCGTTCACTCCGGCTTGACTATCACTCAGCACAGACTCCCTACCACCATCTTCGTTCAACGAGCCACACATTGACAACGATTCATCACCTGAAGCTCACACAGCCCCTTCGTTTTGCCAGTAGTCCGAAAACAAGCACAAATCCACGGATTATTGCCGCTTTGTTGGAATTCGCCAATGATATTTTATCGCTGATCAAAGCATCGTAACGAATTCCTACGCAATGATTTATGGAGTTTTTCA